GGATATATATCGACCCTTTAGCGGCTCTCTTTGACAAATTCCATGTGTACTTGATATGTCCAACATCTACAAATAGCGCCAGTGCTTTTTCATGAGACCTGCTTTAAAATAGCAATCGTAAGTTCAAATTTAAGAATTTCAGCTCTGTCTGTTCTCCAAATTGTACCAGATTTGGTACAATTCTGTACTTTTCATACACTCCCACAGTAACCTAAGTGGCAGCTTTCCGAATTCGAGTTCTAACCGTTCACTCAAGTCCACATTGTACCAAATTTTGTGCTTTTCGTACCCATAAGTACGAATTTCCAAAACTACCTCAGTCATGCACTCCAATAATAACCTTATGCCATGTTCTGACGGGCATTCGAACAACGTAGTTCGCTCTCAGAATTACGTACATGAATTAACCCGTTCATACAGCACTATTCTTAATTCATGTCATCAGAGTTTTTTATTTCAAACTTTTTGTTTCTTGTTTTACACCAAAATTGTAACATATTTGCGTGAATCACATATGGATCTAAATAGAAAAAATAATTCTCTTTCTCCTGACTATAATATCAACCCCTATCTCTCTACTTTTAATTCATGTTTTCCATTTTTTCTGAAAATATTGTTGTTTTCAATAAGTTTTTATATTTTCTCAACTCAAATGTCACATTTAAAAAATTTGAGAATTTTTGTTTGGGTTTCCCAGCTTTTGTTTCTCGTTTTGTACGCTAATTAGAACCAAGGGGAAAGAAATGCATATTGCATTATGTAGACAACAAAATTTACATCCTTCTGAATATATAAAAATTAGAATGTTGGTTACTTTTCATTCATCATTTTCAATTTTACTGAAAAAGTTTGAAAAATTTAAAAATTTTTTCATGCTGTCAAAATTAATTTATTTTCGATAAATTCTCTCAATTGTTAGAGATGGGACAAAATTCTTGGTGATTCAGAGAGTGATTCGAATTGAACAACGTACAAAAGTCGGTGTTCGCTCAGACAATTTTGTATGGGGAACTAAGTAATTACTTCATAATTAAGGGTCGAACAACGAATGAGAGAGCGAACAACGCTCGTCTGTACATGGCATTAAGTGCACATTTAAATATCCCAGCTCTATCCGTTCACCAGCATCCAAATTGTATCAAATTTAGTATCATTTATTACTTTTCGTAGACGTTAGTAGGAGGTTCTAAAACTTCTCAATTTCACACTCCAAAACTTTATTTTTAATGACAAATTTCAGGATCCCAGCCCTATCCGTTCATATAGATCCAAATTGTACCATATTTAGTACTTATGAGTTCGAATTTCCAACACTGTCTCAATCCTGTATTCTAACAGTAATTTTATTATACCCTTCACAACACTGTGGTACAGGGTATTATGTCTTTGTGCATATATTTGTAACAGGCAAAAATAATCGAGATAGACCAATGGTTCCTTTTGAGAATATGCATAGACTCACTTTCTGAGTCGATTTATGCACCAAAGTCTCTGAAAATCATTTGATTTGTACGAATTGTGGCATAGCGTATTGAATTAAATCTAGAATGGCGTATGCTAAGTTTTGTGAAAATCGGTGCAGATTTAGATATAGCTTCCATATATAGTTTCACCCGATTTTAGGTAAATTGTGCACCAAAGTCTTTGCTAATTTTTTTATTGGCATAGATATATCGTAGCTTCCATATATAATTTCGAATTATTTATGTTTATTGTATACCACATAATCAATAGGTGTCTGATTGAGATTAAATTTTAAACAGTGCAGCATACCGAATAGAGTTTGTCAAGTTGGCTTTAAATCGATTTACACAAATCTGTCCCACTGAGCGCAAACGACTCTAAACTTGCCCAAATGAAATGAAATTTAGCATAGGTTCCAGAAAGACATTAAAATCACATATTTAAGTTCGTTCGATTTCATGTCAAAATTCCTTAAAAAAGGCGACGTCTTTTCGGATACATATGTAGAATATACCCAAAGTGGTGAAGGGTATCATACAGTCCGACTTTACTACTTTCCTTACTGGTTTTTAAATATACGTTTTCCATCTCTATCCTTTTATTCAAATCTGAATTGTACTAAACTTAGTACCATTTAGTACACATAATTACGCATTTTTAAAACTAACTCCATGTCTCATCCTACAATCCAATCCTTAATTTTAATTCAAAATTTTATGATTCCCGCTCACACAAAACAAATTGTAACATATTTAGTACCATTTTGTGCTTCTCGTATCCATAAGTACATAATTCCAATACTACCTTAAATCTGTAATTTTTCATTCCAATTTTAAGTTTTCCATCTCTAACCGTTCACTCAAATCTATATTGTACCAAATTTAGTACCATTTAGTACACGTATTACGAATTTTCAAAACTACCCACATATCTCAATCCTGCATTCAAACTGTTATATTAATTCATAATTTCAGGATCTCGGCCCTATCCATTCACACAATTGTTCAACAATTTGTAAACCATTTGGTACCAGTTAGTACTTTTTTTTGTACACTCCAATAGTATTTTTAATTCGAAAATTCTGGAGTCCAGCTCTATCCGTTCACACATAATTAAGTTGTGCCAAATATAGAACCATTTAGTACACATAAGTACTATGCTTCCATATCTCAATTCTATATACCAACAGCAACCACTATTCCAAATTTTAGGTTTCCAGATCTCTCCATTCACCCAAATCCAAATTGTACCAAATTTAGTTCCGTTTAGTACTTTTCGTACATATAAATGCGAATTTCAACTGTAATCTTACTTCCAAATTTCATATATAAAATTTCAAGATTTTAGCTATATATGTTCAATATATGTAGAATTAGAACTACATTTAGTACTTTTAGTACACTTATAGGTCGAATTTCCAAAAACCCCTTTTGTACATCTTTCTAACTTTCCATCAGTGACCCACATTCCAAATTTCAGAATTCTAGCTCTTCCCGTTCGCCTAATACAAAGGGTACCATATTTCGTACATTTTAGTACTTTTCGTACCCTTCTAGTACGAATCTCCAAAAACCCAGCCTTATCTCACGCCTAAACACCAACAACAACCCACACTCAAAATTTCAAGCTTCTAACTTTAGCCGTTTCGTCTGGGCGATGATCTGTCAGTCAGTCACTCACTCACTTAACACTAAGCTCTTTTATATATATAGATATCTTTACATAATTATTACATAATTATTTGTTTTTTTTTCGAACATTCCTTATGAAATATTCCAATTATTGCCTCATAAAAATACCGTGGTGCAGTAACAAATCCAATTTCAGTGAACTAATAATTTGTATCATTGTAATATACTTTATTACTACTGGGAATTTCCTATGCAATCTACAGAAGCTCTGTATGTACATTTGTATGTATATTATTAATATAATAAATTATGTTCTACGTTATGCAGCTGTTCACAATTAATAAGCATAATCGGAATGAAGAGAATAATGTTATCAACCAACTATGAAGTAATTAATGCAAGAAAGATTATAATTTTGAATTTCCCCTAGAGAAAAGCCAGCAAAAATCATTGGCGATGACTAATACAATGAAATGGAAACAATGTATTTATATTTAAACGTTGAAATAATCAATGGGAAATGTGGAATCAATCTGATTATTGTTTTAATCACACATTCACCTTCTGGTGTGGTGGACCACAACAGTACAAAATTAGTAAATCTTATATGAAGCTAATTGAGAATCCGAATTGATCTTTGAATTAATCCAAACTCTGCACATCGTAGTATTTTTGTCAATTCTTGATCATGTACGAAGATATTACCCACCGGTCCGCTAATTTTGGTACCTTCTCCCATTTGATGCATCGATTTCAGAGATTCAGCTTTACTTCAGAAATACGCTGTGGAAGAAGAGTAAAAACACTGACATTAGGTGTACAGCTATGCTATGCTCGTTTTATGCCTTTGAGAACGGTTTCATTAAAATATTTCCTTTTTAGTACTAAAATGTCGTATTTTTATTATCTGACCATATTGAATATCTATCCATAAAAGTAAAATAAACAAACACTGTTTTCTGAAACTTCTTTCTTTATTCCATTTTATGTTTTGGTTTCTATATTATTTTTTTATCAATCACATGGAGATATTTATAAATTATTTTAAAATTGTTGTTGTAATTCTTAAGGATATTTTCCCAAAATCCATTGTTGTTTTTGTGTTCTTAAGAATCCAAAAAACGGAAATACATACAAACAAAATACTCGTTTATTATTCTAAGGGGGGATTACATTGTTATTTGTAAAGTGGGGATAATGAGGGGGGTGGCATTTGGTTTCAAAATATTTTTTTAATTAATAAAAAATATAACCTTAACAAATGAAACAATTTAGTTTAATTAAATGCTAACAGTTGTTGTTTTTTGTAATGGAAAAATAATAATACAAACAATACAATTAAAAATTAGAATAATCATGCTAACTAATTCAAACGAAAAGAGGTAAGAATGAAATGACGAACATTTCAAAAAATAAAGTAGAATTGCCCATGAAAAAATGCAAAGGACACAATTCAGGATTTGTTGTTTTTGTTGAGTGTGTATATTGGTGGAATGGGCTATTCCTGAGCTGACTTAAAGCGAAAAATAACAAACATAAATAAATTAAAATAGATGGTAGAAGGAACATTTCTTTAGAGCTTCCATTTGTCCAGAGGCATATCCAACCTTCAAGTGTGAGGGTTCCGGCTATCTGCTTTCTCTCAAGAAATAAGAAAAAAGTCGTGTTTGATTTGTTTTAGATGGTCTATGATATTGAGTTTGTTTTCTTTTTGTTGTTGTTGTTGATTTTGCCCTGAAATTGTTGTTGCTAGTGTTTTTCGGTAGGTTAGTTTCTATACTAGAAATTCATAAATATTTCATCGGTCTTTAAAATTATCGACTTTGATGAAGTGCAGCCTCTCAATTGAGTCTACCTTCATAAAAGCGGGGTTCTATTGGGTTTCCTTTGGAGCCTCAAATATCACTAGTTGTCTTTTTTATCCTCTTGAGAATTTATTGGTTTGCTGGAATTTTCTGTCACGGGTGATGATGCTGGGCTAGTTTGTGCTGAAACATCGGATTCACTCATGCTATTCTGTAATGAGAGAAAAAAATGAAATACATATTTAATAAAAAATATTAGAGAAGACGAATGAAAAAATTTTATTTTGAGGAATATAAGTGGATAACTCAACGCTGAACATAGGGGAGCTGTCGTGGTCTAATGAAAAGGTAAAGGCGAGAAGAATGTGGCAAATAGTGAGGTCAATTTCAGTACGGGAATCCACAGCAGTCTCAACTCCGATATAAATAAAATATAATGAGGGGTGACATGGGATTTCATCATTCGGAGATAGTTGTGTTTGTGAAAATGTTGGACAACAATCCAAAACGAGAACTGGTTGAATAGTTTAGGGAATAGCTCTATGCTCGATGATTTATTGTGATAGATTCCTCATTCATTCCCATACTATATTCCATAAATACAATTTATTCCTTTGACCACAATATAGATGATAGTTTACATAACCTCTCTTAACCTCTTTTTTCTGTTACTCTGCTCCAAACCCAATATTTTTTCTTTAAGCATTTTGTCAACGTACCTTCATTTGTTTTCTCAATTTCATCGATTTGCCCATACTCAATAGACGATAACGTTCCTTGGCACGTTCACGAATCTTTTCGGGTACCACCAACAATGTTGTTGTCATGTTACCAATAAACAATAATGTGAACAAACCGCTCATAACCGAGACCTGAAAACAAAATAAATCAAGAATCAATTAATAGTATAACCAACCTATTAATAGAAGTTCGTTTAACATACATGCCATGGTGCATCTGGTGGATTGAATGACAATTTATACAATGTCCATGCATTATAGGCCTGGAAGGCATAACCAATAAAGAGAAAGGGCAATAGAAAACTCAGTCCACGCCACATCCACGAATGGAAACCTTCAATGGTAATATCCATATTATGACGTTCACCCAATGCCTTTAGACGATACAATAGACCCTTTTGGTAACCAAATTGGAGATATTGGACAATACCTAAAACAAATGTGTCGGAATATTATGTTAAAATCATATTAAACAAAGTAGTTACATTGTGTTACTTACTGATATATGCATTAAAGTACATAAATTGGTTACGGAATAGCTGCCAATGTTCTCCTTGTGGCCACACCAATAATACACCAGCTGCCACTGTCGAAATAAAGTGGTGGGCCCGCCACCAGCCCTTAATACGTGAGCCATTTACTTTTAATATCGATTCGCGAATAGTCAATGTACAATAATACCAAACCAATAAGAATATATATGATAATTCCAAAGCCCTGTTAAGAAAATCAAAGCAAATGTGATGTAATTTTTAGTTGCAGAAAATGTATGCAGGGTAGGAAGGAAATGATGTGGATAATTTGCGTGTGTAAAGAAGATTAACATTTGAAATATTTTTACAGCTAGACGATACTACGATGAAGGTCATTAACATATTAAAATATCCTTGTGTACGAACAAGTATTAATTACAAGGACATTGTGTTTTTTAGTTTAATTTGGTCATGGCCTCCAATCTCAATTTATAATTTTAGTTCAGTAACAAGGTAAAAATAGAATGTATATGTAGCTGGCTTGCGACAGAACGTTTTGCGAACTTAGAAAAAAATTTCCAGGAGCGTGGTTCTTGTGTCCAAATTTTCCAATTTGAAGGACCCTGTTCCGATATGTCTTCCTCTTGATCTTTCCATCGAATTCATGGCCTTCCTCTTCTGTGTGAAGCACCAGTTGGCTCCCTTTTTTATGCCCATTCTCAAAAATTGGCATAGTCAACGTAGTCGCTGCAGCTCGACACGTCTGATTATGTCAATGTACGAGAATACAATTTACGGCTCATTCGACGGCGATATTCAAAGTAGATGTAGATCGGCTCATATATCTTAAGGAGAATTTTTCTCTCTAAACACTCCAAGAGCTATCTCATCTGCTTGCGTAAGTACCCATGCTTCAGATCCATACAACAACACCGGTAGTATCAGCGTCTTGTAGAGTGTGAGTTTGGTCTGGCGAGAGGTGGCCTTGTTTTTGAATTGGTTGGTCCGTGCCTACTGGACATTTGCGCGTTGATACTATCAGCTTGGTCTTCTCGCCATTTACTGACAGTCCCAATTTGGTAGACTCCTTCTCAATTCGTTCAAAGGTGGCTGATACCACATTCGATGTTCAACCCAATATATCGATGTAGTCGGCGTAGGGACTCCATTTGCATCTCGTACGACCTTTTTCAGCAGGATGTTAAAAAGGTCACACGTCAAACAATATATCGATGTAGTCGGCGTAGGGACTCCATTTGCATCTCGTACGACCTTTTTCAGCAGGATGTTAAAAAGGTCACACGTCAAAATGTCACCTTGTCTGAATCCTCGTTCGGTATTGTAGGGGTGCGGGAGGACCTTTCAGGTTTTAACTGCTGATCTTGTGCCACTTAAAGTTATCCTGCATAGCCGTATTTATTTCGCCACTCTGAGCGAATTGGGCTGTTGAATGCGGCTTTGTAGTCGACGAATAGGTGGAATGTTTCGATGGATTTCTGTGAAAATGGAAAAGTGTGAAAATCTGGTTTATAGTGGATTTGCCAGATCTGAAGCCGCGTTGAAACGATCCAATAATATCATTGACTATCGGCTTCAGTCGTTCACACAACATGCTGGATAACACTATATATGGGATGAGAAGAAGACTAATTCCTCTATACTTGGCACATATCGCCTTGCCTCCTGTTTTGTACCAGGGAAACAGGATGCTGATGTTCCAATAATTGGGCATGCATTCCTCTATCCAAATTGTAATAATCAATTGGTGCATGCACCGGATCAGCGTCTGACCACCCGTCTTGAATATTTCGGCTGATATTCCATCGACACCTGTTGCTTTATTATTCTTCAGCCGATTAATTGCTCTTCTGACTACATCTTTAAATGGTTCTGGGTTATCCTTTTCACCGTTACTATTTGATACCAGAAGCATTAAAAATGCTTCTTCCAGGTCCTCAACACGCAGTCTGTATGTATCACCAGGTTTCCTTATTCATTCCTACTGGAAGATGTGCCTGGAAATTGGTAAAATTTCCGGACTTCAATCCGACTCGATTTGAAAATACGTTTCTCCTCTCTTCTTTTCTCTTGATAATTCTCTCCCGCATTACGTGTTCCTACTGTTTGCAGGGTTGCCCTATACGCTGCGTTTGTTCACTTCAGTAGCATTACATGCATGCTCCTCAGATGAACTCCATGTGAATCATCATGAAGATTCCACGTGACGTGTCTGGATGAGGGTAAAACTGTTCAAAATTCAATGACGAGGATGTACCAATGTATGGCTACATCTACACACCTTGTTAGATAACCGGCCTTAAATAAGATGAATTTGTCTTAGCGGTGGCTTGGTGGGAATCTGAACATCATTACAGTCTTCCATGTGTTGAGCACTGTTAATGTTATAGCTCCTGGCTCCCCTGTTTCCAATTTCAGACTACGTGCTGTTAAACAGGTGCGTATGGTACCAGGTAACTAGCCTAAAACCGATTCTGATAATACAAATTTAAACATGTGGAGTCATTGCACGTCAAGCTTTTAAACTGCTTTAAAACTGAATCTTGTAACTTCGGAGATTGTCTAATACAAAAATAAATCTTGGGATGGATGCTGAAAGGGTTCTAAATTTCTCTAATGCTAGACTGTCATTGTCATAATAGTTTTAAAACTTCTCAGTTGAATATCTAATCATAAGTTGCCAATTTTTTTGCACATCATTCCAATTACACAATTCTTGTTTGTCCCAACTCACCTGTAATTAAATATTAAATTTAAAAATGCCAATAACAGTCCAATGACATTGAGTATCAATTTGAATTTTTCATATTCATCTTTGTAACGGACTTTGTCATTTCTGTTCAATATCGAAACATTTACATCACCAAGAATTATCTAAAAAAATAATAATAAATAATAAAAGTTATTTAAAATTGTATTCCTAGAATTTGATTAATTACACTCTCGATTGAGTTCGCTTACCCTTAGATAACGTCCAGATTTTGTGGGTAATGACTGTTCAATTTCATGCAATTGTGCTTTACGTTTAAGAGTATTTTTTTGAAGTTCGGCAACTTTTTGTTTTTCCTCTTCTGATTGGGTATTTCTAAATCTGTAGAAACAAAATAAATAGAAACAAATAGATATTGAATAAGTAATTTATTATTTTTATTTTTAAAATTAGTTATTGATACATATTAGTCAATGTTTTTTTTTTAATTGTCCAAAAAAGTCATATTGCAAAAAAGTTAGCAATGTATTCTTAATCGGTTTCCAGAAAACATCTACACATATACATATATTATATATGTATGAGTGATTATATATATACAAAATGTTATCACTATAATTATACATTTCTTTTTTAAAATAGGTAATTTAATAGTTGCACTAAAAATATATGGCATTGGTCGTATCTACTTTAATGGGGGCCGCCGCCTTTAACAAGTGCGCGATCGATTGGAGGAATGATTGCAAAGGTCATGGTTATTGCACAATAAAAAAACAATTATAAATATAAAAAAATAATATTTATTTTCTAAGGTTAATTATTTATAATTTAAAATTGTATATTATTATTAAATTGTATTGGTAACAAAAATTCGAAAATATGCTATCGTTTTTGTCAACACTTTTTGCATTATAACATTTCACAGAAGGGTATTTACTGAACAACATCATACTCTTTGCGAGAGAAGAGTGACTTTGCTTTTAAATTTTTTTCTCTGAAAAGAGATGTTCTGGTGTGATGCCAAATGTCCGAACTGGTTGAATTTAATACGTAGATGCACAATTTCGCAACAACATTTAACATAAATACAGCATATCAAGCAACGACATTTGTAAGCCACATTACCCAACATGCCTGATGAGCCGCTTAACCAACGGCGAAATGCTTCGCATATATATGCTGGGAATATAGTATCACTACGGTTTTCCTTTTCATTGCAAAAATTTTTCCGAAGTTTCTAAATCTCTATGAAACCGGAATAGCCAGTTCGGTTGAATAATAAACTTATTGAAATGGGTAGCTGTGTATATGGAGGATGTGTCAAAATATGGGCCAAAACCGTTTTCTGCAAATATGTTTTATATGTTTTCACCCTCCTAGAACCCGAATGCCAAATCGAGTCACTTCGGTTCGTAACGCTGAAAGCTGCCTTAATATACCGAAAATATGGCGGTGTCGTTATATGCATATTATTTACTAAAAATCAAAGGATAATTTTGCACATTAAGATTTTTATTGTGGCTTATATGGTCTCCGCCGAATATTTCGAAGTGTGCAGTGGATTCGAAATCTAAGCTAATAACATGTTACATGAACAAAAATGCTCAAAAAATCATGTATCAGCCTACAATCGAGTCTACGATATAAGTTCCAATACCCTATGTCAAGTTTGTAAAAATACTTCATAGTCCTCCTATGTGAGATAAATCCGAACAATTTCCGAAGTTTGCAACCGACAGTCTGATACTTAAGGATGTCTACCATGTGTTACGGCATCTATCTGCCAGAAAGGTACGAACGTCACACTTTCCTGAATGCTGATTGGCAACTTTTTACCAGAGTTTTTTAATCGCCGCTTCAGAGAGCTTTTCATCTCCTCCGATTGGCGGAGAGCTGAGAAGAATGTCGGAAAAATACCCAAAGTAAGACCAATTTCCCAGAAGAGGTAACAGTATAGGCCAGTAAACGACAGAAGCTTCGTTGTGCGACCCGTGAAGACCAAATGGTGAGAGAACTTACTCTTGAAGTCAACATGCTAGCATGCGAGCGCAAAAGGAAGCGAAATGGAATTTATTACATCGGAAAAAGCATCCTCCCAGTCTTGGAGGTACCCCCATAATTTGCGAAGGAAGGTGTTGCAGATGCAATTGTTGCAATTTTGTCGTTAGTATCCCACATAGTTCCTAAAGCCTGGAAAAGTAAATGGGGTGGCAAGGATGCTAGTAGATGTGAATAGAGGTCGATTTCACACTTGAAACGCTACATCTCCCATCAATGAGAAACAGTTTTCCAGTAACCCATCATCAACATGGATTTCGTAAAATATGTGGTATTACAACAGCATTTCCCCACAACTAGCCATCAGAAAAGGAAAAAGAGGTTTTTGAGAGAATGTCCGTAAGGATTCGGTCTTATTTTCGAAATTGACTGCAGCAAATTTGGCCAAGTTTCATCATAATCAGATTTCATTTGCGAATCAAAAAGAAATTAATTACTCCACTTTATTAGGAATAGAGATGTGTCTAATATTTCCATATCAAATCACTCGAGTTAAGCTCTTAACCAAAAAAATAAGTAATAATAATACAAAAATCTACGCAACGCTTCCTCTTGGAGATTTCAATTGTATTTTACGGGACGTAAACCAGATAGAACTATATTTCCAAATGTGGATACAAATCACACACACGAACTAGAATGCACTTGCATTTGTAGTTATTGCAACAACTGAAAATAATATATTTGGTGATGTGAACTTGTGCACGTTTTTGAATAAAACAACAAAACTTTTTCCACTTTTGAAATTTGAACATTGGATTTGTTTTGTTTTTCGTTTCTATTTTTCCTGTTGCTTTTTTTGTGTTTTATTATTATTATTTAACAATAATTCAAGATAACGATTTATACTTGGTAATTAGTTATTAGTGGTGGTCAAACACCGGCTAAGCAATAAAAAATTATTACAAAATGCCAATTAAAAAAAAAATAAAAAATAAAAATATCTTTGAAGAAAATTATGCTTGGTATCCAATAGCCATAATGAATGGCAAAAAAAAAAAAAAAAAAAAAAAAATTTGTTATCCATAAATGAAAATGCAAAAACAATTCTTTTCTAGTGTTCATCGACAAGAATTTTGATAAGAATACATGTATGGGTATATTAATCAATATACAATTGCTGATATAATGTGTTTTTTTATTATTTATCAAAGTGTCAGCAAATTAAACAGAAAAGAAAACATTGGCAGTAATGTTTCAAAGTCCGTAGATATATCTATGAACAAGAAATTTTCAGAAATAGCAACAAGAAATCCTCAGGTGCCAAAATAAATATTTTAAAAGGTATTAGTAATGTTAATGATATTTGAGTGTCACGGAGGGTGCAAATGATTTTGGTGGAAAGTTTGCATATATGGTGTGGGAGGTAAATCTAATCTAATTCTAATTAAATTAAAATTATTTTACATACTTAATCGGTGTTTGGGGCGATGATACAAATCTAATCTGATTCTAATTTTATTAATGAATAGTTTTTTATACATTGACGATCTCACCTTCTTTTAGTCTCTTTCGCTTATTGTGTATGCCATAACATTCATACATTGTATTAATAATTGGCTGCTTTTGTTTCTTGATATTACTAATATTTTTCAAAATAGTTTCCTTTCGTGCTGGTGATTCAATAAATTTAATATTTTCATTTTGCATCTGCTGCTACTACTGATTCATTTTGCTTGGGTTTCTACGTCAACAAAACAAGCACACTATTGATTTCCACCAGGGGAAAATTCACTTGGAATCAGCATCTTTGTCATAAACATTTATATACGTCGTATGTATGTATAGTTCATGCATAGCTTCCCAATTTTTTTTTGCTGCCAGATTTATGAGAACGTGATAATTTTGAAATTTTCTCAGGTTCAAGGTTAAAAAAATTCCGTCGTCATCTGCAGCAATCTTCCCTCAATATAAATGTATTCAGTCTAAAAATAGAAAACTATTTTCCAACCAAACACAATTTGTTTGGTTATAGAATGTCCCATGTTTATGCATGCAGTTGTTGAAAACAAATTTTCAAATTTATTCAGATAAGATGTGGAATGATTTTGAGACCCCTTATGAAACTATAATTGGACTTTTTGATAGACTGATAGGCGGCTATATATAAATACTAGACTAGAAATAAAAGAATGTGCCAGAGTAATCGAGGGGAAACATATTGCACTAAGTACGGAACAATGTCCCATTATCAAAGTGGAAATTATAGGGTTAAGAAAATTTTATGAAATTATCCAAATACACTTGAAATTTTTTGAAATATAATTTAACATAAATAAAATAATATTCCTTGTCCAGCCCTCATGCCAGAAATCTATGTTTTGATAACCCAATTGTCTGTAATTATGCATAGGTATGTTTAAAAGATTATCGCGGTTTTTAGTACTTTACTGGTTAAAATAAAATTTCCAGGAATGATGAGAACAATATTTAGTCAGGGAGATATGTTGACAATTTTAAGTTGTTATAACCTCAGACTTATGGTTAATGCAGGGTATATACACCTTTTTGTTATATACCTCGTTTCATTGGGCCAAATCCGTTACAGATAATTTAGAGCTGATTTCCAAATGTCCGTCGGTTCCCCTGTCTGGCCGGCTGGTGCGCATGATAACGCTCGAAAGGAATAACAGATTTAATCCAGATTTTATACACCGTTCTTCCAAACTTATAGTTCGAAGATGGGGTCCACTCCTTCTGGTACCTGCCTCACAAAATGGCCAAAACTTCGAAGATTATTGATTTTATATTATCATGCAAACGGACTATCAGAAATGAAACAAACTTTGCAAAAGCTATTAATTTTAGCAATCCTATATAAAGTCCGAAGATGGGACCCCATCAGCCCACTCTTTCTGATTTCTCCCCCACAAAGGGCCCACATTTTCAATATTTATAAATCCAATATTAGGCAGATATAAAGTCCAATTTGAGCCAGACTGTGTCTTCTATCATAATATTTTTTTTTTTTTTAACTCAAATAAAGTTCGAAGGTTGGACCCATCGATCCACCCTTTCTGGTACCATCCACGCAAAAGTTGCATGCATAACCTCACATGCATTGTTGATAATTTTAATCGCTTTTTGAGCTTCGGGTCGATTGTTAAGGAAATGTTGGCCTACCCCGGGAGATCATGATTTGGTTTAATATTCGTAACGTCGTAACCAAAACGTAATTATTTATGCATTGGATACTTCAGTAAGTTGTAACATTCTGAAAATACGTTAAATCGAAAATATATAAAAAAATATTTATAATATACAGTACGAAATTTACTTAGCCAAATACTGTCATCTATGCCCATTAGATGCTAACATTGAACACATTATCAGAAGTCCTCAATCAATCAATCAATATTTGCCAAAGCTGAATTAGTTACCCAGGAAGTTTTTGTTTCGTCATCATAAGCACCATGACATGACTTAAATATCACAATCAATGTCATTAATCCCGCATACAATTTTAGCATGGTTTTCAGTTTTTGCGAACTATGTCAGCTAAACAAACATTTGATCTATACACAAGACCCCACTGCGAACTTTTTGAATGTTTATTTTTTGTATTGACAACACACTTCATTCATACTACGTTAAGTAGTATATTAGCCAGCTACTAGGCAACCGGTTTGTGTAAAACCTTTAGTACCCTAGCCTTGTTTTCGCATATCTTTACGATAACCGAAACATCATATAATCACTTTATCTTAATTTAAAGTCCAAATTTCAAAATATTGGCGGCGATACGTATTTAAAATTCACATAAACACACACACAAACACGCATTGCTGTTACTTACTGTCTTAGAGATGCGCTGATTTGATTCATGCGATATCGCTGATGTTTGATTTCATTGAAACATTTGTGTTGGTGGGAATGTAGCTGTTCCAATAGTTCAATATATTTACGATTGCATTCCTATAAGAAAGAAGAGGGGGAGAGACATAATTGGTTAGCCAAAGTTGTTCGGGAGTAGGTCGTATTTGAATTCCGAATAAATGGAATTGTACCACAACTCACCTCTAGATCTTGAAACTCACGATTGAGTTCATCCCATTCACTGACTAGGGTGTCAATATTATTTTTGGCCATTTTGTGTTGCTGTTGTTATGGTCGTTTTCTATTGTCTTTGCCAACAAGGCGAAAATGTTGGATTGTTTTTGGGGGGTTTCTAACAAAACGTAAGAAAAAAGACGTTGTTCCAGGTTTGGTCAATGCAGTTCGGTACAATGCCAAATAATTGAAACAAAAACTATTCAAATCCACATTTGGTGGCTCATATATGCTTCACCGGTTTGTTTCTTTTTTATTGTTATTTTAATGATGGCCAACTTGATGAGAGGTTCTTGAACTTTCCTCGACCAAAGCTTTCTGCAGACACCACACACGCACTTCAACACTTCTTGTGTTGTTATAATGAGTTAAAATTTAATATCACCTGCTGTTGTCTTTCCAAAAAATCGAAAGAACAGAATATCCTTTTGTTGTCGGTCGTTCGTCGGCATTCCAAAATTAGAGGGGTTTCCACGAAACAGCAATGACAACAAATAAAGGCATGCCATGTGTTCAGTTGTTTTTGTTTTTATCCGTTGTTTCATCATTTTGTTGTGTGTTATCGAAGTGGAGATTAATATGATGTGGCGCGGGGCACACATTGTAGGTGGAGGTAAAAATATATGGGGAAAACGGGAAAAAGAAATGAAAATAAAAATATTAGATATCCAATGGAAATATTTTATATTTCAGAGAGCGATACTTCCCCCATTACTGGGGTGATGCACTCACTACTCTCATTTAATAAAACGTAAATTTATTTTTTTAGATTTGCTATAAACAGCAAAAACAACGAAACAAGGTAGTTCGACATTGACTCTGGGGGTCAACAACTACCTAGACAGCATTAGTCAATCTCGAATTGTCTGTCGTTCTCGATCGTCCACCACCTCCATACCTTTGTAAATTATTTAAATCTATCAAATCCGCAACTTTTAGTCCATGTCAATCCACCAGTAATTTACGGGCAATGGATTCTTCCCCTAGGCCGCCTTGTTGCTGCTGCTGTTATTCTTCTCCAGCAAAATACTTTAACAAACTAAATGCCCGATTCGCCGACTGACTGGCTCGTCGCTGGCTGATGATTGGGGTTACGTTAAACGAATGTCAAAAAATGTACCTTCTACGTGTGTTGTTGCTGCAGCTGCTCGCGCCGCTGCCGTCGTTGTTTTACTTCTGCTGACGTCGTCGCATTCGTTTGACGGACGACGATTTGCAAAAAAAAAACATACAATAACAACAACACTGTCTGCCAGCTCGTATACAAAGTGTATGCATATAATGGACGGACAATCATCCGCCTTCCCGCTCCGTTGGACAGATATACGAAAACAAGCAATTTTGTTTTAAATTTTTGTATTGTTTTATTTGCTTGCTGCTTGATTAGATTAAAAACTCACACAGCCGACGAAGAAAAAAATTCCTAGTCGAGATGATTGATAAAACCAAAACACACATCACCCACCCCCTCTAAGTGAACCCGATGGCACCCCATACACAACACAAACAGTACAGCGCACTATCTTTCCTGCTCACCGCGGTAGGTAATAATAAAAAATGGACAGCGGTAATCGACAAAATAACATGACAACAATAACAACAACTATGCGTCAATATGAAAAAAGCTTCGTTCGTCTTGAGAACATACGATTAGTAGAGCAACAACAACTATACACATGAACACAACAGAAAAAAACAACGTCAACAACGTTGATGCCAGACACCATCGTCACGTCATATAGACCCGGCACAACAACATGAATTAGTTTTATTGTTTTTGTTGCAATTTTTCTTTTCACGTCATTCCACGGAAGTGCCAGTGCAAAGGAAATACACAAATTAAACACAAAAACATATTTAATTTATTGCGTTATTACACTCTTTTTGTTTATTTTTATTATCACCACTGTTTGTTTTCAATTATTTATTTAGTGCATTTTGTTCTTGTTTTTTTTTTGGTTCAACATTTACCCGCTGTTCTCATCCAAACAATCTTCTCACCGGCTTTGACACTTTAATTTTTTTCTCTGCTAGCATCGATTAGGGAGAAGTAATTCGATATGTTTTAACTAATCGATTAATCGTGGGGATTTAGTAATAACACAGTTGAAAATTAAGGTTATTTTCTTTAAAAGCTTTTCGCGTATATTTTTTGTTTTAGTTTTTAGACTGAATGGCATCAAGAATTGATGCTCTTGTACAATTGTTGTTTGCTGTCTTGTTACGGTAAACAGAGTGCAACTAGAAATCCCTATGTATGATGCGCTGTCACACGACAACAACAACAGCTGAGTTTGCATTTCTATGGTTAAACAGAGTTGCCCAACGGCGGAATATTCACTTCTTCGACAGTTGTATAAAAAAGTAGTTGGATGAAATACATGTGAGGAAGGTTGGCAACGCGAATGTGTATAAACCGTTTCTTTTGAAAACAAACTTTAATTAATATATGGTTAATTGGGATTGTTATTGGAGAAATAAAAGTCGGCTACTTTCTATAAAATCAATATTTAGTTAATGCAAAACACAATATAAACAAACAAAAACACTACACTCAGAACACAACACCTGTCCTGGGAAGAGACTATAGATGTCTTACTCCTAGATTTCGCTCTCCCAACCATGGTTTCGAAACCTTTCAACGTACAAATTTAATTGGAAATCACGTTTGGTCTGGCGAGAGGTGGCCTTGCTTTTGAGTTGCTTACTCAGACCATAGTAGCATCTGTTGGCTAACACTATTCTCCTCCGGATTTCAAAATTTGGATTTACAAATGTCCGTTCCTTCATTTGTACCAACGATTTGAACCAACCTTTGCTCAGCCTATTATCTTTAACAAGCCCAGATGAAGTCCGAATTTGGGACCCATTTGTCCACTCCTTCTGGTACCTCCCCCACAAATTATGAACATTTTGTAAATTGTTTAGATTTCCTACTCAAATATTCACTGATTTTTTGGATACCCATCTATATTTTTAACAATATCCAAAATAATACACAAACATTTTTATTATTTTATTGAATGGAAAAAATGCAAAAAATATATATACAACAATTATTAATACTATTATATCCCGATCCAAAGATTGCTAACTTTTTTCATTCTTTACGACTGGCACGCCATCTCAATGCAAGATATGCTGAAATTCTGAAAATCAATATCAGAGCAATTAGTCCCAAATAATCGAATGGTAAATTATTCTCCGAAAAGTTCAACGTCTCCAAAATAACTTTGCCCGAACTGGGACAGGTGGTGTTCGTGGAGGTGCAAGTAATTTCACCCGGTTGTACATCGGCCCATTGATTGATGAGTAAACCTTCGTTGGCATAGCGGAACCAAGAGAAATACGATAACCATTTAAAGTAGACGGGCACCGAACCGGAATTTAAGAAGAAACCACCAAATAGCAGGAATGGTATGGTCACCGGTGGGCCGACAGATAAAGCCATTGATGTTGAGGAGGAGGCACAGGATATGAGGTAGCCAAATGATGTGGAGACATTAGCCACCAGGGTAACCAGGGCCATGGCAACAAAGAAGTGTATGAGGCCAGGACGTAAACCAATCATCGGATAGGCGATGGCAGTAAAGACAAATGGTACAACTAAAAACAACGGCAGTTCGGCAATGGTTTTCCCCAGAAAATAGGTGTCACAGCGATACAGACGACTTCGAGTTTCACGCATAAATACCGGCAGTTCAGAAGTAAAGACCTGTACAGGGAGAAATATTTTTTTTATTTAATACAGGATTTTTATACAATTTGGAGATACTTACATTGATCACGGCAAACACATTTTGGAAGGTCATGTTGGTGAGAAACAAGAAAATAGCGCCGTTGATATTCATGACGCCAACTTGGGTCAGTGGCTGATTTAAAAATATTAGACCAATCAAAATGGCAACCATCTGAAAAGAGGAAACACAATATTTGATATTATACCAATAGAAACTCTTGTATATATAGGAGATATGTAGAAGGTCTTATCAGCCTGCTAACTATAATGGATCACCCCTTACCGTTGTTTGTATCAGTCGCACTTTAACCAGCAAAGGTTCCTTCAATGTTGATATCCATGAACGCCAGATAATTGCACGGAATTGAGTAAACCAGGAAGCCTTGTAAGTGAAACCATTTTCCTCATCTTTGGTAATAGCATCAGATTTGGCAGCTATCTTCTGGACACTTTGTTCCATTTCCCGGGCAACTCTGCAATTTTCAATAAGTGTTAGAAATAACTTATTTTGGGTTTTCAAAATCAACTAACTTTCCCACAGCAAAATTGTCACAAATCTTTGAAATACGATCTCGAGACTCCACCTCACGACCCGGTACTACGGCCAAAACTTGAACATAGAAATCAGCTGGATTGTAATTGTTGGGACATTGGGCGCCAATACTAAACAGAACAAAAATTTTAATGTGGTCTCATTTCCAATATTTGGATCGACTTACAATGAAAAGAAATCGACTGCCTCATTTGGAGTACCCAAAAATGCCACCCTACCCTCAGCCATTAACAAAATTTTATCAAACAATTCAAATAATTCCGATGACGGCTGATGTATGGTAAGTATAACAGTTTTACCTCGCTGCGACAACTTCTTCAAAACCTGTACCACACTGTGTGCCATAAAGGAGTCCAAACCCGACGTGGGTTCATCGCATATCAACAATGGTGGATCGGTGAGAGCTTCTGACGCAAAGGCCAAACGTTTACGTTCACCACCTGACAGACCCTTAACACGACCGGGTACACCAATAATCGTATTTTGACATTTACCCAATGACAAATCCTGTATAACTTGATCGACTCTTTGGATTTTTTGTTTTTGACTCATTGTGCGGGGCATACGAACGGTTGCCTGGAAAATCAGGTGTTCTCGTGTCGTCAACGAACCAATAAATAAATCATCCTGCTGGACATAGGCACACCGTGCCTGCATTTCCTTAGCATCAACAGGTGAGCCATTCAGCATACGCATACTGGATGGGGAAATGGTAACACCACGAGCCGACCGAAAGGCCAATGCATTGAGGAGGGTTGTTTTACCGGCACCGGAGCTGCCCATAACTGCTAATAATTCTCCCGGATATGCAATGCCACACACTAGGATTGGGAAGGAAAATCAATTCAGAATATATTTGATAATTTAAAATTCACATTTTTTACCATTTTTAATTAAATGCTTCCTCGGCTTGGGTATGTGCCTCTCATTACAGAAAACTCCTCTCACACGATTCATCAATTGCTTCCAATTCGATCCCGGCTGGTGGACTTCTCCAAATACATCCAAATTATACCAGGAGTATGTGAGTTTTTCCGACACGGATTCATTTGAGGCCAACGATCCATAGCTTTTATTAAATCCAGAATTTATGGCCGACTGTTCCAAGGTTCGTTGGGGCTGCAAAAGGATGGGGGATAGAATTAGTTTGAAGTTGAGATCATTTTCTGTAACTGAATGCTCGAAATACAACTGATCTTTCCGAGCAGAAGCCAGAGGAACTCTAAAAAGACAGTTTCATGTCTAGAAACTTTACAACTAATATTCGGTAAGGATAAATTGAAAAAAAGGACCGACTTGTCAGAGCTTCAATCCTATTCCCATCTACGGAAGGCTCGTCTTCAAGTACTATCTAGCTCAGTAGGGTACGTTTTAATCAGGTCGAACAACTCTAAAAAACCAACGACTTACTTGTGTCTAGACTTTTGAATCGTTGGATTCCGGTCACAGAAACAAAATACTAAACATCTGAACTATGTTCGATATGGTTTCAGAAAACTCTCTATGAGCGTGATGTTATTAATTACATTTTGGGGTACTTTAATTTTTTTATTTTGGAGACATTATCACTACTTCTGACGTAGAGGGTTGATTTGTAGAAGGTCTTCAATGAAGACGATGTATTTGAGAGAAATTATTAGATCAAGTCCGAAAATAAGAACCATCGTTCCACTCTCTTAGGTACCTCCGAAAAAATAATAACCTGTGTGTAATTTCGTAGACCTCCGCAACCATAGGCTGAGGGTACATATTTTCATCTCGATATACACAAGGCCACCTGGATTTCTCCCGATCGAACAACGATAAATCAAATCGATTCTCTTGTGATAGACGGAAGGCATTCATCCAGTATTTTAGACGTTCGATCGATACGAGGAGCGAATATCGATTCGGACCACTACCTTGTAGCAGTCAAGCAGTGGTGCGATCTAACACATCACGGAAACTCGACGTCGAACAGCTGCAAACTCAACAGGTAGCAGAAACTTACTCCGCTCATCTTACCCACCTGCTTGACGAAAGCACTCCTTGCCCCGATAGTAATATAGAAACACCATGGCAAAGAATTGCCCATTCCCGACAAACTGCAGCAAAAGCAACACTACGGTACTAAAAACCATCATTAAGAAACATATGGTACGATCAGGAGTGTGGTAATTCTACTGATGTGAAAACGCAGTGTATACGGTAACCCTGCAGACAGTAGCAACGCGCTATGCGATGGAAAATTATCGAGAGAAAATATAAGAGGAGAAACGTATTTTCAGAAAAAAAGAAGAAATAACAAGAAAAACGAGAGTGTCAGCAAATCGAGTTATACCGAATGAAGTCCGGAAATTTTACCAACGAGTAAAACACCAAACCGAAGGCTTTGGTGTAGGCACATCATCCTGTAGAGATAAAGATGGTGACAGATGTAAATATCGTGTTGGATTTGGAAGGAGAATTTTGGAAAGCTTCTGGTATCAAATAGAAGAAGAAGATGCCCCAGAACCAATAAGAGATGACGGTATAGAGTGTGTACCACCTAGCCAAGATGTGGTCAGAATAGCAATCAATCGGCTGAAGAATAATAAAGCAGCAGGTGGCGTACTATTCAAGGTCGGTGGTCAGATGCTGGACAGGAGCGTACACCATCTGATTAATACAATTTTGCTAGAGGAATGCATGACCAATGATGCTAACCTCAGCATACTGTGTCCCGTACACAAACAAGGAGACAAAGCGATATGTGCTAACTATAGAGGAATAAGTTTCCTTCCCATCGCATATAAAGTGCTATCCAGCGTTCTATGTGAACAACTGAAGCCAATGGTCAATGTCATTTTTGGACCATACCAATGCGGCTTTCGGCCTGGAAAATCTACCATAGACCAGATTTTCACACTGCGCCAAATCCTGGAAAAGGCCCGCGGAAAAAACACATCGACGCATTCCATCTATTCGTCGACTATAATACCACATTCCACAGTTATATTCGTTCGGAGGTGTTTTAAGCCATGTCTGCGTTCGACATTCCTGCAAAATTAATACAGCTACGCAGGAACAAGATCAGCAGTTCAAGTCGAAAAGGACCTCTCTAAGCCCTTTAAAACCGAACGGGGATTCTGATAAGATGACAGTTTGTCGTGTGACCTTTTTAACATCCTTCTGGAAAAGGTCATTCTAGAGGCAAAGATGAACAGAAGTGGCACAACACATGTTATTCACCTACGCCGATGACATCGATATAGTTGGTCGAACAATGAGAGCAGTAAAAACCAAAGTGGGTCTGGCAGTAAACGGCGAGAAGACCAAGCTGATGGCATCAACGCGCAAAACGTCCAGTAGACTCGGACCAACTGTGGAACTTGAGAACTACAGCTTCGAGGTAGTTAAAGACTTTATATACCTTGGTACCGCCATAAATAAAACGAATGGCGAAATTCGGAGAAGGATTGTGATGGCCAACAGATGTCTAGTAAGCAGTTTAGAAACAAGACGCTGATAAAACCCGTGATGTAATATGACGGTGAATATATCGGTCGAATGAAGCATGTCAGACGTATTGAGTTGAAGCGATTACGTTGTTTAGGTCATGTTGTGAGAATGGATGAAGATGCCCCAGCTCAAAAGGTATATACAAGCCAGTTCACGCAGAAGGGAAAGGCCACGAATTAGATGGAAATATCAAGTGGAAGACAACATTGCCGAACATGGTCTTTCAAATTCGAAAAACTGCGCAAAAGACCGACGCATCTGGAAATCTATTTTAAGCTCGGCCTATGGAACGAAAGTTTTGTCACAAGCCAGCTAAGTAAGTAAGTAAATTTTTACCCTTTGTGGTGGAGGTACCAGAAGGTGTGGACCAATGGGTCTCATCTTCGAATTTTTAACTAAGTTTGGAATATTCTTCTGTTTCATTTAAAATTATAAGATATTTTTTGTTTTGAAAACATTCAATTGTCTAAGAATAATAATATTTCCATCTCAGTCCCAAACAAAAAACTATTCATTCCGATACTACTTTTTAAAAATCATTATCTTTATATCCAGACAACATATTTTTTATCTCTATGAAAAACAGAAACATTATTTACTCGAGATTTGTTATGTCTTCGCCTTATATGCATTTCATTTGTTATTAAATTTTTCAAAAAAAAAAAAAAAAACACAAAAAGAAAATTGAGATAAACAAATGTTAATACGAATGAACATGGTAATTGGAGATGGTAACTTGGCCAAGCATCGTCATATCAATGTTGGTGCCATAAAGACAAGTTATTTTCTGGATTTTATATCTTGCGTTTTAAAACGATATTATGTTTTAATTTGACTAACTCCTACGTTCTCATTAGGGGACTTATCATAAAAAAATTAAGCACTCAAAAAACATTTTCTACCGTAAAATACAAAATTTTAAGAGAAAGCTGATGAATTAAAATGGAATAGATTTTCATGGTTTTGTAGGTGGCAATTTGGAGAATCTTTTTTTTTATTGTATCTTCGTTTTATTTAAGGTAACAATCTGTTTTTTGGATGTATGTTCGAATGCATTGAAGTGTATTTTCTATAATGAAGCTTGCCTGGCTGCTTGGCTAACATTCATTCTTCGTCCATTGTTGTGGACCATACTGGGTCTTGTTTTTTCGTCCATTGTGACGAACAGATGAATTTGTTATCGAATGCAGAAAAAAGTGAGAGCAGAAATTCTCTGATTGTTATATTCTATTGCAAATTGAAGTGGAGTGTGTAGAAGCATAACAACAACAACAAAAAATTGTATCATCAACATGAATAACAAAATGCAAAGGAGAGTAAAAAAAGGAAACATACCAAATGTTTTTTTTTTCACCTTAACAGCAGATAGCAGTTGAATTGGAATTTTTTAAACGATTAGATTTCAATAATGTAATACCCTCAATTTGCAGGGTACATACACTTTGCTACGGCAAAAATATGCCTCATCGAAATATTGGTTTTAGATCCATGCATTGAATAACATTCGTTTCCTATAATTTTGAGTTGATGTGCTAATGACCGTCCGTCCGAGTGTTTGTCTGGCTGGTACACACGATATCTCGAGAAGGTAGTATTCGATTCCACACAAACTTTAATATTTCTTCCAAACATAAATCGAGTTCGAAAATGGGGGATATCGGTCCACTCCTTCCATTACCACCCTCACAAAATGGACAACCTTTTTCTAACGAACTATCCGATTTTAACTAAACTTTGCACAGCCAAATATTAGGTTGGGGGAAAAGAAATCAATTATGAATATGTCAATAAAATCGGAGAAATGATCGAAGTTAACTGGCATGTTAGCAGGAGCTAAACATCGACCATAAAACAGTTTTAAACCAATTACACAACGTTGGATTCAAAAAGATAACTCGATGTTTGGTAGCTGCACCAATTAACAGAAAAAAATAAGATGGATCGAATTTCCATCTGCGAAGCCTTTGCCAAACGGAATGAGATGGACCCACTTCTTGGCTGGAGATGAGAAATAGTCAAAGAGTGGTGAAGCACCTCAAACGGTGGCCAAACCCAGACTAACGGCCAGGAAGGTTCGGCTGTACATTTGGTGGGACTGGAACGGGATTATTTATTATAAGTTGCTTCCATATGGCCAAACGCAAAGCCACACACATCTACATTGACTCACCAGGAACTTCGGGAGCTTGGATGGGAATTTTTAATGCATCCGCCATGCAGTCCGGACTTGGCACTAAAAGATTGTCATCTTTCTCTTGCATTGCAAAATGTCTTTAATGAAAAAAAATTGGTATTTAGGGAGGATTGTGAAAATCGACTACTAGATTTTTTTTTTTGCAAATAGAGAGCAAGACTTCTATGAGAGAGACATTATGAATTTACCTTTAAAATGGCAAAATCATTCCAAAAATGGTGCCTATTTGGCCCGATATAAATGTACCAAATTTAGTACCAATTAGAACACATTACAACGAATTTCCAGACACTCCTCAATCCCACACTCAAACAGTAATCTTAATTCAAAATTTCAAGATTCCAGCTCTAGCGGTTCACCAAATCCAAATTTGGTACCATATAAATTAGTTACGATCCCACCTCCAAATTCCAAAACTATCAGTTCACCCGAAATTACACCACAT